GGGTTTAAGGTTAGGGCTTAGGGTTTAGGTTTGGGGTTTAGGGTATAGGGTTTAGGGATTTTCAGGCCCATAGAGCTTGGCAGCCCACTGGTACCCTTTTGCCCTGGTTCTCTTATACGGTAAAGGGCACCCCTGGTCGAATATGGTCAGGGGTTTAGGGTTTAGTAGTTTTTAGGGTTTAGTAGTTTTTAGGGTTTCGTAGTTTTTAGGGTTTAGTATTTTTTAGGGTTTAGTAGTCTTTAGGGTTTAGTAGTTTTTAGGGTTTAGTAGTTTTTAGGGTTTAGGGCTTAAGATTCTGGCCTCTCGGATACAGGGTTTGTGGAAGCGGTGGGTGGGAATTGAGGGAGTCCCATATGCCGAACCGATTAGGAACCACCACATTGAAAATGCAAGGGGGCTTTCAAAAGGGCTTAGGGTTTAGGGTTTAGGGTGTAGGGCTGTTTAGGGTTTAGGGTTTAGGGCTGTTTAAGGGTTTACTTAGTGTTTCGTACTTTTTTGTTTGAAGCGTAAAGCTGCAAAGTTGCTACGCAAGCCCGGTTGTGGATTTTAGGGTTGTTTAGGGTTCCTCGGGCAAGTCTTCAGTTTAGAGAGAAATGCCCAGCCACAGGCGCCTTTGGGGGTTAGGGTTTAGGGAACCCGAATTCAACCCGACCCTAAACCCTAAACCGGCCCCTCAACCCCCAAACCCCTCCCACCCCTCCCCCCCCCCGCCTCGCCCCCCGAAACCCCAAACTCAAACCCTAAACCCTAAGCCCTCAACCCTAAACCCTATTTTTTTCTCCGTAGGGACCAGACTGGAGGGAGATGTCTCTGCAGCTTCCTTTGCGGCTCATCTGCCGCAGTCGGGCCCCCTCCTCGCGGCGCCCGACAAGCGGTGACAGGGCTTGCGTTCAGTAATGGGGGTTGGGGTTTAGGGTTTAGGGTTTGGGGTTTAGGGTTTAGCGTTTAGGGTTAAGGGGGTTACGGCCTAGGATTTGGGAGTCAGGGATTTAGGATTCGGGTATAGGAGTGGGAGATTCAACGGTTCAACCCATCCTAAGTATCCTCTCAGGCCCCACTAGACCCTGAGCCTCAACCCTGGCCTACAACCCCAAACCTTACTTGGGCATTTCATATACCCGGACCCCCAAATACTGAAAGCCTCATTATAGGAACCCCCTAAACCCTAGACCCTAGTCCTTAGACCCTAGACCCTAGACTAGGCCTTTTTTTCGAAAACCCCTACTTGAGTCCTAGACCCGAACCCTTAAACCTCCTTTAGGGGTTTAGGGCTTAGAGTTACAGGGTTGAAACAGGTTTAGGGTGTTTAGGGTTTATAGAGTTTAGGGTTTATAGGGTGTAGGGGTTGGGGTCAAGGGATAGGGTTTAGGGCTTAAGGCTTAGGGTTTGTAGGGTTTGTAGGGTTTACATGGTTTAGGGTTTAGGGCAACCCAAGTCCCGTAGCACCTGCACAGCCAGCGCAGACGCCCAGGTAGCCATGGCTGTCGCGCCGAGCCCGGCCATACCTGAGGATGTCGCAACCCGGCCGGTGCGGCTCTTCGTTAGGGTTTTGTGTTCTTCTCGGATACGTAAGCGAGGGTGGGGTTTCCGTTCTAATTAGTACGGTTGCCCCGGTTTTAGGGAACTCTTTTCCCAAAGGCCCTTCCCTTAAAAGGCTCAACCCCCGCCCTCAATTCTGTCAGCTGCCTGTTGGGGATTTAGGAGACCGTGTCTTGTGGCTCATTGCTTTGTTGGGTGAGTCAGAAGTCAGAAGACTCAAGTCGTAGTTGCTTCAGGTTTTTTGGGGTCGGGAGAGTTCGGCGACTTGACATGTATGTTGGGCTTCGGGTTTAGGGTTTAGGGTTGAGGGTTTACCTAAACCCTAAACCCTAAACCCTAAACCCTAAACCCCAGGGTTGAGGGTTTCAGAGGAAATCTGGGTCTCTTCTGAAGTCGCTCAGTTCCGAGGCAGCCTTCGACGAAGAAGAGAATGAGGCCTTGTTGAGGGTTCCTCCCAAACCCTAAACCCCAAACCCCAAACCCCAAACCCTAAACCCTAAACCCTAAACCCTAAACCCTAAACCCTAAACCCTAAACCCTAAACCCCTAAACCCTAAACCCTAAACCCCTAAACTCAAGACCCTTATCAAGCTGCAAGGTCGCAGCTGCTTCGGGCTTAGGGTGCTGGGGTTCACATGCTACTGTGCCGAAGCCTTAAGCCCGGAGAGCACAGCGTCGCAAGCCTACTCGACTCTAAGCCTACTCAACTCTAAGCCCTCAGCCTAAGCCTGAAACTCCAAACGGTTTAGGGTTTAGGGTTTAGGGTTTAGGGTTTAGGGTTTAGGGTTTAGGGTTTAGGGTTTAGGATCAGTTCGGCCGTAGCCCCATATCGGCCGCGCTCTAAAAGCCCAGTATCCTGTCCCTCAACCCACCTCTGAGTCCGCTTAAACCCCAGCCCTAACCCTAAACCTTAAGCCCTAAACCCTAGACCCTAAACCCTAAACCCTAAACGCTAAACCCTTTCCGACAGGTCCGCGGGACTCTTGTCTTCAGGCCACCGACAGAGATCTTGCCGAAGACAAGGCCGGATCTCATGAGGGATCCTGTAGAGCTAGGGTTTAGGGTTTAGGGTTTAGGGTTTAGGGTTTAGGGTTTATTGTTTTGGGTTTAGGCTTTTGGGTTTAGGGTTTAGGGTTATCCCAATAGGGCTGGAGTACCTGAGACTTGGTAGCCCGGTGGTACCCTTTGCCCCTTTTTTGTTGGTTCTGGGTTCCCTTATAAAGTAACCAGCCAGAAAACGGGCACCCTTGATGGAATATGGTGACTGGGCTACGTAGGAGAGATTGCATCGAGCTTTTGCGGTGTTCACGTTGGGGTTGATTTGGAAGAAAGTACAAGTTCCATGCGCTCTAACCCCCCTAAACCCTAAACCCCAACCCAAAACCCAAATCTACCCCAGAAGTCAGGGATGTCAGGACAGGGCCACATGGGTTTTTGGATGCTGGTTTCATTTGTTGTTTTAAAGTGTTCCCGGGTGTACCCTAAACCCTAAACCTCTTCAGGGCTATAGAGGTTGGGGGTTGTTCGCCTTTTCAGTGCTGTGGTTCAGGGTTTTGGGTTTCGGGCTCAGGGCATTTTGTGATTCAGGCAGGTTGAGGGTTTAGGGTTCAGGGTTTAGGGTTGACAGTGTTTTTGAGCATGACGTCACGAAGCCTGTAGCTAGGACGCAGCAAGAACTTCAAACGTGGTGCCCGCCAAAGACCTGCTCAAACCCAAACCCCAGCCCCCTAAACACACCTGAAGCCCTTAAACCTTGAAGCCCAAAACCGCAAACCCCAAGCTCCAAGCCATAACCCTAAACCCCAAACCCCAAACCCCAAACCCTAAACCCTAAACCCAAAGCACCACCATGAAAGCCACAAGCGCCCTTGCTCACAGGCGGACCGAGGAGATGCAAAAGCGGAAGATTGCTGCTTGCCTAGGACCCCCCAGCAGCTCCCTAAAATTATCGGGTTTAGGGTTTAGGGTTAGGGGTTTAGGGTTTCGGGTTTAGGGGTTTAGGGTTAGGGGTTTAGAGTTTAGGGTTCAGGCATGGCCACAGAGGGGGATGGGCTTCTGGGAGTTTGTTATTCTTAGGGTTGTTACACGGTCCCTTAGTATCGGCCTTTATACAAGGGACCCCTTATATACCTCTTATACCCCCTGCAACCCTAAGGGCCCCTACTTCAGAACCCCTTTGAGGAAAGGGACGACATTAAGGGGGTACATAGAACTACCCCTACCCAGAGACTCCCAAACCCCTTAATTAAGGAACGTACCTTAAATTATAATTGGAAGCCTAGCATGATTTAAGGTACATTTCTGAATTAAGGGGTTTTGGGAGTCTCTGGGTACACTCCAACTATCCCTTACACTCCACCACCTCACGGGGCCCATATGTCTGCCCCTGCACTCCAGTAGCTGCTTGGAAGAGGGCAAAGTTCTTTCGCTGCGGATGGCAGCTAACAAATAATTTCCACGGGTGGCAAAACGGGAACTCACGACTGTTTCGTATAGATCCGGGGTGTGATTCTGTACGCTAAAAAGTTCGCTTTTGGCCGTAAGGTGTCTGAGGGCCTAGGGCATCGGATGGTTCATCCTACACCTAAACCCCTAAACCCCCCCACAGAGACTCCAACACCCCTTAATTAAGGAATATACCTTAAATCTTACAAGGGTTCTCATTATAATTTAAGGTATATATTCCATAATTTTAAGGGGTTTGGGAGTCTCCGGGCCTACTCCCTGTACCCGATGCTATGACTACCCTAGTTCTTTTTCGGGTTTGGGCGAGACTGACTCGCGCCACGAAGCCCGAAGTTCATGAGATGCGAGTTCCTACTACCCGAACACCCCTCTGGTACCCCATAAACCCTAAACCCTAAACCCTAAACCCTAAACCCTAAACCCTAAACCCTAAACCCTAAACCCTAAACCCTAAACCCTAAACCCTAGACTTGCTGGCCCAGTGGTACGCTTGTCCTTCTTGTTTTTGTTCTGGGTTGCCTTTTCAAGTAACTAACCCAAAAACAGGTGGCCCTGACTATAGGCTGGTTGCTGCGCTACCAAGTAGATATCTGAACCCTAACATCCCTAAAGCTGTAAATTCTCCGGTGGTGCCCGTGCTTTGTTTCGTTCCTCTTTCCTCCGTAAGGCCATAGAATCCCACACCCCAAACCCTACATAAACCCACCCCAGCCCCAAACCCTCGCGTGTACAGCAGAAGCTCCTTGGCAAAGTATGTGACTGCAAGTGTTGGTGTGAGCCAGTACAGGATGCTCAAGCTGAAACGCTATCCAGCACTTCCAAAAGTTAACCCAAGTAGCAGAATACAGCACGATGCTACAGACAGAACGGCCAGAGACATTTGTGCTTTGTCCCCTGAAAAGAATCAGCTGCTGTGACTCCAGCCATAGACTCATCCCGCTTCGGCGGGTTATGAGCCCAACGCTGCTGAAGCTGGGCTAGACTGGAAGTCAAGAATGGAGAAGAAGGAGAGTGCGCCGGCAGAAAGCAGGCCCAGCCCTTTCTGGAGTGAAGAAGCGCAGAGAAAGTTTATGGAGACCCACGGGGACCGAGATACTCAACGACCTGCAATCCTGGAAAAGTACGAGCAGACAGCGACGCGGCATGAAGAGCAACAGCTTCGAGAACCACCATATGAACAGGCACAGGCATCGTCATCCACGAGTTTGGATGATGCAAAGAAGCCTGTTGTCGTCAATAGTTCTGCTGAGAGTGATTCAGGTGGAAGAGCAAAGGCCCCATCGGTGGAAAGTCTTTCTATGATTGCCAAAGTGCAAGCTCGTGCGGACGGTTCGCCGGACCGTCTTAGCTTGGGAATGGAAAGTGCCTATAGTGGAAAGTCTGCCTCTTCACGACATGAGACCCTGGGTCAGGAAGGCATCAAGCCAGAGCCAGAGATTATAGCTGAATCTCGGGAAACTGAACCAAGATCTCCAGGGGAACCTGGTATGACATTTCAGGAGCCCGCGATGGCTCAATTGCTACGCCAACTGAGTGGCTTAGTCACTCAGGCCCTGCAGGAGCAAGTGGCGCCAACGCTTCAGCAAGTGCTGGTGAATCAGGCGCAACTTGAATCCCGTTTGGATCAGATGGAAGTGGCTTCCAGACCAGCTTCTACAGATGGAGATGGCTTGATTGAGCGTACACGAATGCTAGAGCTCAGTACTCCAACTGAGGACGTCAAGACAAGCCATTTTCCCGTGATGTCTAGTAGTGAAAGCGTGGATAGAGTCAATGCGCTCGGTGTACAGTCTATTCGCCCCAAAGCTGAGCAGGCGGAGGTTCCCCATGAAGTCCAGTTGGAAGGTGGCAAACCTGAAGCTGGTGATGACCAAGGACTTACCCTTCCCTCTAAAGGCACCGTATGGGTGGGAACGACGGAATATGCCTGGCGAGTATCAGCTGGCGGATTGAAATTAGTACCAGTGCAAACACAGCAGCATGAAGCAGATCAGCAACCTGTGCAAGAGTTCGGTGTACGGGCAGCAGGTAGTGGTGGAAGTGTACCTACGGACAGAATCTTCAGCAATAGGGCAGTGTCACCGTTTGAGCGTTACCCTGGCACGAGATCAGAGCCAGGACGCGATGACATAGGCCGCGTGAGCATCGAGCGACAACTCAAACCAAATATCTCTGACCCATGCCCAACTCCAAATGCCCCACCTTTGCCTCCTAAACTTGAGCAGGGAACGGAGTCCCAAGTTGGATTCGGCCCATATGAAGGAATTCCTCCAGTTCCAACGGCCAGGTGCAGTGGGGCTGCGGGTAAAGGGACCGGGAATAGGAGTTCTAGCAGGGAGGTTCAAGAGGGCGGGCGTTCAGATGTTCACAGTCGTCCGGTAACGCCAGTCAAACCCAGGATTGTGTATCCGTTCTCTCCAGGTGGCACCGAGATTCGACCTCCAAATCATAGTCCGCCACGTAGACCCACTAGGTCCCCGAACTCAAGAACGAAAGTAGCTGCAGGCACTGAGAACCCCCCTCCTGCACAGACCGACATGCAACAACTGGTGGTAGCGCTTGAAAGGGCTATTCGTGTGGGGCGAGGGGATTCTCGCACAGAGGATGTCAAGTCGATTGCTGAGCTACCCAAACTAGAGATTCGGGACAATGAGCGTGAGCTTACACCATTGATAGCCGGGGACTGGATGGCATTGCTTGGCCCGTCGCTGAGAGATCTCTCGGCAAATGCCTCAGAATGGTGGGCAGAAGTCCAAAGCGCCTATCAGGCCTTTTACACCAAATGGTTAGAAAGCAGTCCGATTGAAAGACTCCTCTTACTGCCTGAACGCCCGAATAGATTTGACGCTGGCCCGTTTGCCAGAGTGGAACAGAGAGCAGTTTCTTTGCTTTTAAAGGCGGTTCCGTCCTCCATAAAGGAGGAAGTCGTAGCTATGAGAAAGCTGAGCTCAATCGAAATCCTAGGAGCAATTATGACTACGTACCAACCCGGAGGGCTGAAGGAGCGTAGTGCCCTCTTAAAGTACCTCACTGCCCCAGAGCCAGCAAAAGGGGTCACAGAGGCTCTTCGAGCCATCAGACGATGGAGTCGCTGGAGAAAGAGGGCTACAGAACTTCAGATTTCGATACCAGACAGTACCTTGCTCATAGCTGGACTGGACGTAATGACTAGCCAGGTACTCAGCCAACACACCGATGCGTTGTTCAGGATCCAAACTTTTCGACACCAACACACAATCGACATGGTACCGACGGCAGATAAGGCCTTGTCACTTAGCCAAATGATTCAGGCCGAGCTGCAGGTCTTGGAGAACGCAGGCTCCCACAAAAGGCCAAAAATTGCCAAGGTTGCGGATGGAAATGCTGAAGGATCAGACAACGCAAACACTGCGCCTAGTAATAAAGGCAAAGGAAAAGGAAAGGGTGATGGGAAGTCCGTCGCTAAGGGGTCCGAGGCTCCAGAAGGGAATAAAGGTGGCGGCAAGGCCTGTTACCACTGGATGTCAAAAGCGGGGTGCAAGCTAGGGAGACAATGCAGGTTTCCTCACGATAAAGCTGCGCTCAATGCTGCGTTGGATGTGGGCTCCAGGTGCTACGTTTGTAGTGGAATAGGACATAAGGCCCAGGACTGTCCATCGCAGAGCCAAGTGGAAGGCGAAGACAGGGCGACTAAAGGTAAAGCAAAGGGAAACTCCAAAGCTCAGCCCAATGTTCCGGCTGTGAAGCGCGTGGAGGAAGATACGCCTCAGGCAAAATTGATCAGTGCTGCCACTGACCTTCTCCAGCAGATGCAGACGAAAGCCGTAAGCCTGGCCTCATCGTTGAACAGGATCTCCGCGGACGGTCCTAGGACTGGACTGATCGACTCAGGAGCATCCACATGCTTGAGGACTGCCAGGGATGATGAGCCTAAAGGGTTGGTCAAGAAAACGGTGGATCTTGCCCAAGGAACCGCAGAGTTGTTCGTTACTCCTTGTGGCACTCTTGTTTCTCCCACTCCAGTCGAGACAATAGTCGCTCTTGGATTACTCATCAAAATAGGGTGCAGGCTCCAGTGGGGTGAGAAGGAGTGCACATTATGGCACCCGTCAAGGGGGCAGATTCGGCTTGAAGTGAGCTCAGGGTGCCCTCGTGTCCCGGAGGAGCTTGCGCTAGAATTGATTCAGGAGATTGAGCAATATCGCGTGAACACAGTCGGTGCGGCCATTAAGGCACTGCAGGCCAAAGACAATGGTAGCTTGCCTCAACCCAAGGAAGCAATTAGCAAACTCACAGACGAAATTCTTCGAGGGGGTGATGTTGCCGGGAGTCTAGGAGAGTTGGTGCTGTCGTTATGGCCAGAAATCCCAAATGCCATTCTGCAGGATCTGGTAGCCTGGGCCTCTCAGGACTCTACTACATTGGTCTTTAATCGCCGGAAAAGAAGAGCGGTGTCAAAGGCTAAAGGGGTCTTGATACATTTGTTTGCCGGGGAATCTCGGAAGGAAATAGAAACTCACGCGAGGGCAAAGGGCTACGAGGTAGTATCTGTGGGCCTACAAGAAGATTTCGCGTCCATCCAGACATTCGTGTATGTGCTTCACCTAGCGGCGCAGGGAGTTGTAGATATCATCTTTGCGGCACCGCCGGGTGGAACGAATTCCGTGTGTAGGTTCATACAGCCGGGGCCAAAGCTTCTTAGAACTAGAGAAGGCACGAGTCGTTGGGGTCTGGTAGGATTGAGCCCTGCAGAACAAGTCAAGGTAAAGCAGGCGGATGAGCTTTATCTTCGGACTCTTCTGCTCATGCATGTAGCTGAGGAGGGTAGACGGAGAGTCAATAAGCCCCCCACATGGAGCCTGATTGAAAACCCCCAGGATCCAGCTACGTATGTGCGGCCAGACTCAAACCTTCACCAGCAGGCCCGCCGACATGGCGGGTTTCCGTCGTTTTTTGCCACCAGGGAGTTTCAGATTTCCTCTGAACTGCTGGGAATGAGGCAATATCATGGAGACCAAGGCCCGTATGGTCATGAGACGCGTAGGCCAACGACATGGGCATCCACTAGAGAACTCCCAGAACTGAAGAAAGGGCCGGGTGTAGGGCCAAGTGTGGATGGTGCTGTAGAGGAAGAATGGCTTGCTGCTAAGTGCAGTAAATGGGCACCAGGGATGATTCGGCTACTACTGAACCTAGCGCCGTCGCTCTCACAGTCTGGCATCAAAGTTGCTAAGGCAGATTCGATGGACTGGGAAGAGCATGTGCGTAATGGACATTGGCCTCCTTCTAGAAGGTGTAGAAGGTGTATAGCGGCGTGTGCCCGACATAGAGCCCACCGACGGATCAGATGTCCGGCATCTTGGGTCTTATCGGCCGATACCATCGGACCTTTCAAGAAGGCGGAAGATGAAACGTCGCCTGACCTTCGGTACCTCTTGATAGCATGTGTTGTGGTGCCAGTAGATGGAAAGGGAAAGCCAGTGCTGGGACCAGAGCAGCAACAGGCCGAAGCAGCCGAGGACACCGCCGTAAAAGCTGATGAGGAGTTAGCTGACTACGAGCCAACCGAGATGCCTGACGATGAGAATCAGATCAACATCCCATTGGAAGAGCTCTTCGGACCGGATGTCGAAGAAGCCCCTCTCGTGGGAAAGGCTCTTCAGGAGTACGAAGAGTGTCTGAAAGCCTGCCAGCAAGATGCTGATGAGCTCACTGCAGCCACAAAGGAGTGCAAAGTAGATGGGCTAGCTTGGAAGGAAGTAGTGTTTGTGGAAACGCTTAGGCGAAAGACCCCAGCTGCTACCGCCCAAGCTCTCACCCGTATCCTAACGCAGGCCCATGAACTTGGGCTACCCGTCGTGCGGCTACACACCGATAGTGGCTCTGAGTACGTCAATCCTCAGATCAGGAAGATGGCTACCAGGTTTCAACTAAAGCAAACCTGCGCAGCTCCAGAGGAACATAACAGTAATGGCCGCAGCGAAAACATAGTGCAGCGTGTAAAAAACCAGATGAACATGTTGTTGGGCTTGCCTAACAGCGATCCGGTGCTCTGGCCTCTTGCGGCTAAGAGCGTTGTTGCAACATGGCGTGCGCAAACACTGAGGCAGATGGGCATGCCAGCTCCAGCAGTGGTTCCGTTTGGTACTCACGCTCAGGTACTCTGCAGGTCGTGGTTGCGCAAGAGCAAACAGTCTTGGAAAGCAAAGGCAGTGGACGCCACCGTCTTGTGTCCTGCTTCGCTAATAAAACTTGGGTATGTGGTTAGGATAGGCAAGCGGTTGTCGGTCGTTACAAAGCTGTTTCAGGGTGAGGAGCCACCGCTCACAATCACGTTGAACCCAGGCCAAGACCCTCCACCAATGTCACATTCCCTAGGCCCTGAAACTCGTGTGTCCGAAAAAGCCTCAATCCCAAGTATGTCCCACGCGCCTCCTCCTCTTGTTAGGTATCGTGACAAAGCCCCAGGCCCAGGTAGACGTCCTGTAGTAAGTGCCATTCAACCTCACCCAGGTAGGAGTGTAGAAGATCTCCAAGCTGAACAACTGGCTAAAGCGAGTCCGTTTGATGTGGATGAGGCAGTACGTTTTGTCTTGAGTAGTTCGTATGTTGTAGAACCGGGGCTTCAGGACATCAGCAGCAGCAACAAGCACTTCTCGGGACAGCACTATCTGTTTGGGGTCTACCGGTATGGAGGAGCCGTCGGGCTCACTCGGTGCTGCAAACAGCGCCCAGGAATGTCTGCCCTGTTGGCAGCTATTGCTAAGGCCAAGTGTCCTGATGCTACTTTTTCGACGATAGGACTATGCGTAAATGGGGCAGCCTATCCACATCGTGACAGCAACAATCTCCCTACTTCGGTGTCGCATTGGATTCCTCTCAAAATGCCAAAAAAGGGCGGTAGGTTGTGGGTTGAACTTCGGGTGGGTGCTCAGGTTGTTGGTCAGCCAGCAGTTGTGTCTGCCGGTAATACTCATGTTCCTGGACAGTTCCACAGCCCCAATTGCCCTGCAGCGTTCTCCCCGATGCACCTGCATGGCACTGAAGATTGGAACAGGCAGGAGTCGAGAGTAGTGCTTCTGTTGTACACGGTCAATTGCTTGCAAAACCTCGATGAGCGATCTCTTCTTGAGCTACGGCAGTATGGGTTTTCCGTTCCTTGCGTTAACGAAAAAGGGGGAGATGGTGTTCATGATGCTCGAGCTAGGGAGGGGGGAGACCCAGGATTTCAAGATGGTGTCCATGATGCTCGGGCTGGTGTTCATGATGCTCGTGCTAGGGAGGGGGGAGACCCAGGATTTCAAGATGGTGTCCATGATGCTCGGGCTAGGGAGGGGGCAGACCCAGGATTTCAAGGCAAAAATGGAGAACTAGGTGGTCCTGTGTGCCTCGGGCTAGGAAGCCATTGCGTGTGTCCCGCCACTACTCAGCAAGCTGCAGAGTCGGGGGAGATCGGGGATAGTAGGATAGAGGATGGTGGTAGCAACCACTCGGGCCCCAACTGCCTGCAATTTGTAGGCTCGGAGGAGAAAGGGAGCAGTTCAGGTTGTGAGGGTCGCGCGTCTTCAGGGTGATTCAATGGCACTTTGCAGGATTTGTGATTCGGAGGAACTGGTTAATGATTAGGGAAGGTGTTCGGAGTGTGGTTGTAAGGTTGCAGAGAGTTCGGTAGGTAGCAGTTGTAACCCGTACAAGGCCCGAGCTGGGTTTCAGACGCTGACTGCACCTACCCACCCCAAAGAAAAAACCTCAAAACCCAAAGAAAAAACTGAAAATTACCAAAACCCAGAAAAATCGCATAATATTTACCCCAAAAACTGTATCACTTCCGGTGATATGCCTCAGAACCGCAGCCAAGGGATGATGCGAGCGATGTGTGTGTCGGGGAATCGGTCAGTAGAGCCGGTCGCTGGCGGGCGCTGCAGTAAGCAAGTCCTTCGGGCCCTGGAGGGGCCTAGTGGCAATGAGCGGGAAGGGTGGCATCAGAGGCGTCCAAGTCAGGCCTTGACATGCATTAGGTCGGAGGGGCTTGAGCGCGGTGTGTGGATGTTGGACTCTGGCTCCATAACTCGGAAGGAGGCTGAGAGGCCGAGTAACGGTCTCGAGGAAGCTGACCGAGAATTAAGCCTGGAGTTGCGTGAGGAGCTTGTTGTGTGAGTTTGATGGTGAAAGTGATGGGCGGAGCGATGAGCCTGAAGAGGCGGAGAGTGCCTCTGAGGAGGGCGGTGACAGTCATCGCCAGGATGCCCGCTGGGCTGCGTCGTATGAGCGTGTGCTTGATCGTGAAGAGTTGAGATGCGTTGGAGGTGAGTCGCTTGGAGAAGTCTATGCGACAAGGACCCAGCAGGAGATCATGGATTTTGAAAGTTGGCTTGATGAGCGGCAGCTGAGGCTGGCGAGCATGCATGAGGGAGAGCTGCAACAATGGATAGATGATATGCCTCCTGCTTCGGAGGCGGCTCAATTGAATCGGCTAGAAATCAACAAGTTGTGGGAGGACGTTGAAGACTTGCGCTTGGAGTTGACGCAGTTGTGCTTGAAGCAAATAACTGAAGACTCACAAGCATTAGCTGAGGCCCAAGCCATGCCTGCTGATGTTCATGAACAGGTAGTGCTTCAGACGCGGATAGTTGCAAACATGCAGGTGATGGCAAACTGGGAGCTCTGGAAACCTGCCGTTGAGGCAGAACTTGGAAGCCTGATACAGGACAAGCAGGCGATCTATGAGACAACTCAGAAGGAGTTGGACAAGCTGCAGGCGCAGGGCTACAAGGTTTTGTTGATCCCAAGTAAAGCCATTTTTACCGTAAAAGCCCCGGGGGGCAAGTATAAGTGTAGATTAGTAGCCTGCGGAAACTACCTTAGCAGTAGCGAGGGCAGCAAACTGGAACATAGGCAGACTGTCTACACCCCCAGCATAGGGATAGATGCCCTACGTACAGCGTTGGCCTTCAGCACGCGAAGGAGGCACACGTTAATCACAGTAGACATAAAGGCCGCATTCCTCAATGCGCAGCTATTGCCACGTAATCGGGGCAGCGCTGAGAAGGTTGCTGCAGAAGCCAGTAATGCAATCGATCAGGTTGAGGTGCCGTCGTCCAGTAGTCATTTCCAGCAACAGTCACAGCAACAGCATCAGCGCCAACAGCAGACTCAGAAAGAGAAGACAGAGAGTATTTTGGCTCAAGACTCGCGGCTCGACAAAGTGACCGATGAAGTGGTGGCCCTAGTACCTCCACGTGTCCTCGTTACACAGGGAGTTTTCAGCTCCCAGGCGCGGCTCATCATTAAAAAGGCTCTCTATGGGCTTGATCAGTCCCCAAGAGATTGGAGTTTTCAGCGTGATCAAGCATTGCGGAAGATCATCATCAGGCATCAAGGCACAGAGTACCGTTTGTATCAATCATTAGCTGAAGACAGTCTTTGGCTACTCAGTAGCGAAAAACCGCTCAGAGGAATGGAAGCCACGCTGAACATCTCGCCTGAAACATCGGCAATCGCTGGATGGGTTGCTGTGTATGTAGATGACGTCCTGGTAGGAGCTGAGAACAGCTTAGCCTGGGCAGTGATTTCTGCTATCCGTGAGCGATGGGAGTGCTCGGAACCTCAAGAAGTTGTGAATGGCTCCCAGGGAAAGGTGAGATTTTTAGGCATCGACCTCAGCTGGAATGACAATCGTGACTTGGTTTTGTCTCAGGCCTCATACATTCGAGAACTGGAGCAACGGTACAAATCGCAGCTTGATGGGTTAGGAAAACCAACGACTCCGTTGCCAAATGCCTTCGACGACGACGCCCGCGAAGAGTCAAGCGACGTTGAAGACGTTAGACGATGTCAAACCATAGTGGGAGAGATGCTTTGGGCAAGTATCCGAACGAGACCAGACATTACTTTCTCGGTTTCAAAATTAGCTGCTGCAATCACACGAGCTCCTGTAGGAACCTACAGATCTGCACTTCACACGCTGGCCTATCTAGTGGCAAGCGCAGAGTGTGTGTTGATTTATCCACGTGATGAGCGAGAAGTGTGGAAGCAGTATAAGAAGTCCACCGCTATGGAGGGGCTTCTTGAAGGATATGGGGACGCGTCATTTGCTCCAGAGGCCAAGAGATCGATGCAATGCGTCCAGGTGCATACCGAAGGGGCGCTTACCGGATGGTCGTGCGCAAGACAGGCTTTCATGGCTCAAAGTTCTTGTGAAGCGGAAATGATAGCTTTGATGGAGTTAGCTAACTACACCATCAGTAGCTCTTATGTATTTGACGAGTTGCTGCAGCGGCGCTCTCGCAAGGAGTTGCTGGGCGACAATGTAGCGGCGCTGGCCTTGTACGGTGGTACAAGTGCTAGCTGGAGAACCAGGCATCTAAAAATCAGAGCTAAGGCTTTTGCTGAGCGATACATGGAGGGTGATCTTCCGGCAAATCATATAGCCGGGGAATTCAACCCGGCTGACTCAGGCACCAAAGCCTTGGGGGCAGCACGTCACTGGAAACTGTGTGATTTGATGGGATTGCACATACCGCGTGGGCAGACTAAGCTGGCGCATGTGAGCACTGAGCACAAAGTAGAGAATGCGTCAGAGTCGAAGCGCTACTTGCAAGCGGTGATAGTGGCATGCTGTTTGTGTAGTGCAAGTGCCCAACCGACGCCGGCTGCGAGCTCAGAGGGAGATGCCGCGTTGTGGGTGCTAATCTGTTTGGTGGCAGTAACCTCCATTGCCTTGTGGGAAGCAGGGAAAGCGTTTGTGCGATGCTGTCTTAGGTATGGGGCGCAGAGGCGTCCTGTCAGAGTGTCGGAAGATGAGAGCGATGAGAGACTGCCAGAAAGACAGCCCGATAGTGAAGATGAGCTTGAAGAGCAAACTCCCCTGCAACTGGCCCTGCAAGAGATTGAAAGAGAGAGGGAAGGAGTGAGGGAGAGAGAGAGGGAAGAACAGCAGCAGCAGGACTATGAAGAGGGCTTGCGTAGAAGAGGAGCCAGGATTTATGTAGCAGAGCCAGAGTTGGAGCCTCCGCTGCCTGCATCGCCGGCGATGAACCCAGGTCCTCAGAGCCATATTGCAACGCAATATCTAGATGACCTTCTTGTAGCTGCACCGGCGGAACACATAGACCGTATTGTTCAGGAGGAACTGAATCGTAGAGCCACCGGCAATCCGCCTGCCCCAACTGAAATCCCCCCAGCTCCAGTTCGGGAAGTCCGAGTTTTGGACTTCGAAAGGGCTCGTGAGGAAGTCTTGAGAGGTCAACGGGAGGAGCAGCGGATGGGTTTGCCACCAGACCCTCCTATTGTTATCCATCCTGGTTTAGGACCTCCGCGCAACCAGCCACCGCTGAGGGAGATCCAAAGGGCTTCCTCAACTTGGGGCGGCCTAGCATCTGCTTTGCATCAAGTGCTTCCCGTAGAGTACCGTAGAGATTTTTATCAAATAGACTGGAACAGAAATGTTCTCATACGGTGGCATGCAGCTACGCGTGTGCGACTATTCACACCTACGCAGACGAGGCTTCCAGATGGCCTTGACATCCGTGCAGTCACTGGTCGTAGGAGATCTTTCATCACCGACATGGCACGGCAGTATGTACTCGACGACAGCTTTCGAGGCGAAGGAGCTCAAAGATACTTGGAAGCTGAATGGAGGGGAAGGACTGAGCTCGAAATCAGTCGAGCCATCCTTCAAATGGTGCGTCCTGCGCCATTGCCAGAAGGCGTGCGATAAGGGAAGTGAACGTAGCGTAGACTGCATGCACACAACAGGAGCTGAGATGCCGAGATGAGTTCTGAATTAGTCTGTTAAAGGCTGAGGTACTGCGAATCGCAGTAGGGGGAGCGCGTGTACAGCAGAAGCTCCTTGGCAAAGTATGTGACTGCAAGTGTTGGTGTGAGCCAGTACAGGATGCTCAAGCTGAAACGCTATCCAGCACTTCCAAAAGTTAACCCAAGTAGCAGAATACAGCACGATGCTACAGACAGAACGGCCAGAGACATTTGTGCTTTGTCCCCTGAAAAGAATCAGCTGCTGTGACTCCAGCCATAGACTCATCCCGCTTCGGCGACCCTAAACCCTAAACCCTAAGCCCTAAACCCTACACAATCTTTAGCCTAGTACCCAGCCACCTCTGCAGACCCGGCCTCTGTGTGCCCACGAACCTTGAAGCATCTCGTAGAAGCCTGAGCCCTGAGTCCTAAGCCCTAAGCCCTACTGAGCCTCAAACCCTAAACTCCTCAACCCCAGGCCCTAAACCCTAAACCCTTGTGTTTGACCTTATACGCTGTGTGGGGAAATCCACCTGCTGGAAGTGTACGGATTTATGGTGGCAGCAAAGGCTACACTGTTGATAGGGTGTGAAGTTGCAGATGCTGGTGAGCCATGGGCTTCAAGTGGCCTGGCTCTAGCGCATTGCCACTTCATATATCGTACGGCAGTGGAAGCCTTCGCTCCTGATGAAGTTCGAGTCCAGCTTTGCATTCTTCATGGCTACCCTGTTCGAGAAATTGGGCTCATAACCTGTGTTTGACCTTATACCTGGTCAATGTGTTGTATGCCCACCCACACTGGCGAGTACAGCCACTCATGCTGCCTCTACCAATGCGACGCGCTGGCCTTAAGGGCTACCAGCTTCTCACACTCCCCCCGCTCCACAGCTTATGCGAAGGAGTGCTCCCTCCTGTAACTCCCCCAGGCCCAGCAACCACCAGCAATGGCTGAGAGGTTTGCGCCACCTGGCCTCTCCATTAGGCGCTCATTGCCCCCAACCATTGCCACTGCCATGCTGTGATGCCACCCATGACCCCGACCGCCCTGGCAAAGCCACCCGCTGTGCCCGCCAGACTCTCAGCAGCCGACGTGAAGTAACCCCCCACAGCTTTAGGCCACAACCACCAAGCCCACTACCAAGCGGTGTTTTGCGCAGCAGCCCGATAGTTGGGCTCATAACCTGTGTTTGACCTTATACCTGGTCAATGTGCCCACCCATGCCAGTGAGCATGCCCATCACTTCGGGCAGCCCTGCTGACATGACGCGTGCACCTTAAGGGCCGTGCACCTTCCGCAACCCTAAACTCCCCCTGAGCTCTAAACCCTTACCCGTAAAACCCCAAACCCTCCACTGGCCCCCGAAGCAGCTTCAACCACCTCAGTAGGGGAGCTCTAGCCCTGGTGCCTTATGAGCAGAGCTCCGTTTGTCGAAGGGTTACGCTTTGGGGGTTGGTAGCCCCCGTAGCCCTAAACCCTAAACCCTAAACCCTAAACCCTAAACCCTAAACCCTAAACCCTAAACCCTTGCGCACGGACACTTGAAGGGCTTAGGGTTTTTGAGGGTTTCAGGGTTTCGGGTTTCGAGTTGAAGGCTTGAGGGTTCTGAGGTTTGGGGTTCGGGTTTTGGAGTCTTTTTGGAGCGCCTTTTCAGCTCGGTTTAGGGTTTAGGTTTTAGGGTTTAGGGTTTAGGGTTTAGGGTTTAGGGTTTAGGGTTTAGCTCAGGAAATGCTGAAGAAGAGGAAGGAAGATGCCGAGAATCTCCGCAAAGAGAAGGACCCCCTGTTCCGAACACGTTTCGAGGGCGGCCTTCAGTGTGAAAACCCTAAACCCTAAACCCTAAACCCTAAACCCTAAACCCTAAACCCTAAACCCTAAACCCTAAACCCTAAACCCTAAACCCTAAACCCTAAACCCTAAACCCTAAACCCTAAACCTAAACCCTAAAAAAGTGTTGTTCAGGGCTATGCGGCGCAGTTGCCTTCCAGGCTGCTGAGGACCGCGAGTCCGAGTTCCTGTCGAAATGCCCTAAACCCGAAACGCCAAACCCTAAAACCTAAACCCCAATCCCTAAACCCTAAACCCTAAACCCTAAACCCTAAACCCTAAACCCTAAACCCTAAACCCTAACCTGAATTGACAGGAGAAGCAAGAAGCACAGCGGAGGCAGTGACCCTCTCCTTGCACGCCAAGTCTGGTCGGTCATACTTACTTAGCCAATAGTTGAACTTTATTTTTTTGGGTTTCCTTATTAAGTAGCAAAAAAATAATAATAATAGTTTTAATAATAATAACAATTAACAATCATAATAATAATCATAATAATAATAATTATTGTTATTTTTTTATTAATCTCAATAATAATAATAATGATGATGATGATAATCTAATACTCTTGTAGCTTTTTACCTTGCGTGGGTGGGGGGGGGTGAAAGGTTGGTCACAGCACAGGCCGACTGTGGCAGTAGCTTGTCGGGGATGTACGGTTTGGCCTTGATGAAGAGTAGACCCTAGACCCTAAACCCTAAACCCTAAACCCTAAACCCTAAACCCTAAACCCTAAACCCCCACTGATCTCGCGCCGGCGTACACGTCTGTATGTGCACTAGGCCCCCCCACTGAAAGTACGGCCAAACCCATAAAAAGCTGCGGGTGCTGCCTGAAGGGAAGGCACCAAAGCGCGCAGACTCGCGCACATGGCCTACCCAAACAAAGCCCTAAACCCCAGTTCTTTGGAACGATCAGACGCATAGTTCCTATCCATCCGAGATGTTGGGCCCTGGCTCCAGACGTTTTAGAGCTTAGGGTTTAGAGTTGTTAGGGTTTAGGGTTAGGGCTTGGGTTTTGGGTTTTGGGTTTATGGTTTAGGTTTTAGGGCTTCTTCGGGCTTAGGGTTTAGGGTTGCAGTCTGCAAGGTGTAAGGCGATCTGTTTAGGGTTTAGGGTTTAGGGTTTAGGGTCTAGGACCCTACGCCCCTCCGCAGTTCGATCCGCTGAGGGGGCACGAATCTTGCACTTGGGGCTGCAGGTTTGGGGGTCATGCGTTTAGGGTTTAGGGTTTAGGGTTTAGGGTTTAGGGTTTAGGGTTTAGGGTAAGCCTCAAGCCCTAAACCCGAAATCCCTAAACCCTACACCTAAACTTCAGAAGCAACTACTGGGAGGTGCACTGGTAGCTATGACTTTGGGAGTGGGATAGGTATATCATTGAGCGTTCAAGTTCAAGTTTGCTAAACCCTAACAAACCCCAAAGAGTCCATGTCCTGATCAAGGGCTCAAGGCTTTGGAGTTTCAGGGTTTTGGTTTAGGGGTCGGGGGTTTGGAACTTAGCTGGTTGAGGGTTTATGTGCGATGTGGGCATTAGGCCTTTCTTCCACCAAAAGGCCTGAAACTCACAAACCCAAAAAGCCGGAAACGCCCTACATTCTTAATCCCTAGCACCCAAGAATCCTTAATCCTAAGCCCTAAACCCTAAACCCTAAACTACCCTTAACCCTACAAGTGTTTAAGGATAATCTCTTCAGGCAGCAGGAGCTTCAGGTTATGAAGGAGAAGCAGCGCATGGAGAAGAAGAAGAAGGCATCGATTGGGTTTTTAGGGTTTTTTGGGGTTTAGGGATTAGGGTTTAGGGTTTAGGTTCAGGGTCTTGAGGGTTTCAGGTTCCAGCGGCTTAGGGCTTCCTTAGCGTCCTTCCTGAAACCCTAAACCCTGCGCGTTGTGGGGTTTTTGACCCTAAATCCGAAACCCTAAACCCTAAGTCTTTGGCGGTTTGGGGCCTTAAGGGTCGTGGGGCTTTTTCTTTGCAGGCTTCGGATTGTAGGGACTTCAGAGATGGGGTGCCAGCAGGGTTTGGGGTGCAGGGTTTCTGATTTCGGGTTGAGAAGTTTAGAAGTTTAGGGTTTTCAGATCCGGTGCGTCCCACTGACAGAGAAATGCACAACTCCAATCCCGAGGCCGCACCCGACACCCTCAGCCCTAAAGCCCAAGCCCTAAACCCTAAACCCTATAAACACTAAACCCTAAACCCTAAACCCTAAACCCCCAGCCCTCAACCCTGAAACACACATGCAGGCAGAAGAGCAGAAAAGGCGTGAGGAGGAGGAGCAGAGACACTCGCCTTGTGGAAGTCTGAGCTCCGAGGTTTAGGGTTTAGGGTGTAGGGTTTAGGGTTTAGGTTTAGGGTTTAGGGTTTAGGGTTTAGGGTTTAGGGTTTAGGGTTTAGGGTTTAGGGTCTCTCTCTCGCTCTCTCTATATGAATACAGAGATGGGGGGGGGGCTCCCTTCTGGGGTTATTGTTCTAAGGCGGCCCCGAATAGTTAGGGGTACATGGGTTTCTATACTACCCCTGTACCCCCACCAGGTTCCCCCCTTAAGATACCGAAATTAGGCTTCATTCTCCCTTCATGGCCTTACTGATGGGGGGAACCTGGGGGTAGAATAGAGGGAGGGGGGTAGTAGGGGACCCGTGATAGTAGGGTCGTCGTTATGGCTAGCATCCCCAAAAGGACAACCAATATATTCACTCAGCCAAGATATATAAGGAGCCTTGTGTACACCCGCCAGGAACAGTCATGTCAACCCTAATTAAGGCATACAGGTTCTGGGTTTTACTATCAGGAGGGGAGAGAAGTCGAAACCCCAACAACCTCCCTGAAAGGTTTAGGATCTAGGTTTTTGGCAACTTAGCATGTCAATCCGAAGAGGTTTGACCTGGCCTCCTTAGGGTTTGGGGTTTAGGGTTGAGAGTTTATATAGGGTTTAGGGTTTAGGGTTTAGGAAGAGCCCAGCTACTGCCAAGGAAAGAAGATGGAGGGCGGTCTGGATCGGATCCTGCATTCGCTGACTCTTGACTTTGGGGGTTTACGGTTTAGGGTTTAGGGTTTAGGGTTCAGGGTTTAGGGTTTTGGGTCTAGGGTCTTGGGAGGTTGCGCCGAGTGTGTGTATTAAGGGGCATAAGAGTTACCCCGA